AAATCAAGACCATCTCACTGAGAGTTCATGCTCTCTCTTATCTGCAGACTGAGAGAGGAACCATTGCAGGGGCAACGAGGACATGAGGGAGTAGCCGGGACACAGAGACGGACACTGGCAGCATGTTCTCTGGCTTCTCTCCACAGTCGGACATTGATCTTCATGGATGTAAATGACTGTCTTCTCCACCTCCCTAACCCCCTCCGATAGTGTAATGTGTTCAGATCCCTCCCCACATTCGACCACCAGAGGACAAATCTAAACACAGAAACCCTGGCTGGTGAAGTAGTAAACCTCAGAATAAATAATGGGTCTACAAACAGAGCTGGCAGGCTCTTTCTTTGAAAGCTTTAAGGCTATTTTTGTATCGGACTGTATAAAAAAATACTGCTGTGGGGAGGGAGGGAGGGAGGTAGGGGCTGAATCTTGTGGTTTAATTACTGAAAAGCTTTTCCAAAAGTACAAACATTTGAACGGCCTTTCCTTCATCTTTGGAAGACTCATTCTCCATTAATATCTTAAAATAGCACAACAGGTTTTAACTGGTGCAACAAGTTAGATCATAAAGACTTAAAAGGAATAAAAGACATTGTGCAACATTTAAATCTTTGCATGTTAGTGGAAAGTACTCATCCACATCACATCCATCAAATACCAAATTAGAAATTATGGTTTGCAAAGAATGCTTAATCAATACTTAAAGGCTTAATATGCGATTTTCACACTTAAATGTAATAGAAATGAAGTATATCCTCTGAAAATAACTCTGTGAGTCATGACTGTCTACAATGGGTGTAACACCCGAGTCCCACTGTCTGTGATGTTTTCAGAGTTTTCAGAGTCCTATCTTCACTTTGTTTACATCGCCAGGATGGCCAGCTGACTCCTCCCCTCGTGTATAAAAGTTGTTTAATTGAGGGACTAGAGAAAAGAAGAATAACATACTGTACTCACTGCTTAACTGTGTTTCTAGATCACGCTCATTTCAGGTAAATTTACATGCAGTGTGAAGATACCAGCATAATAAAGCATAGCATTAGCATGCTAACACAACAATGCAGCGCGAGTTGTTTTGGTTTCATGCTGGTGCTCAAGGGCGACATCTGCTGGATCAAAAAATCACATATAAATCATCAACCACTTTGAAGTTCTAAACCAAAATCTTAGCATCGCAGATTTGAACACTTTCAGTGGCTGACTTAAAGACGGCTCTATGAAGGCCAAAAGGCTGAAATAAAATATAAATGTTTTTGGGAGGTTTGGAACTAAGAGCCGTGAACACTATGGACACTTTTAAAAAGCAGTTTATGATCACTCTGTTCGGACATGCCTTTGTTTGATCAGTCTATATTTGATGTGACTGTGTGTTTGTAATGTCTCTGATCAATCCTGTGCTGTATTTACTAACTTATATAAAATGTAAATGTTTGTGGAGGAAAGTTGAAGAACCTTGATATTCAGAGAGAATTCATACACTGAACCCTCCCTCTATCTGACCTCCTCTCTCCTTGTCTCTAAGTGAACTGTGGCATACAGGGCGTTTCCAGAGGGGGGCAAGGGGTTATATGCCCCCCCTCCCCACCTTAAAATCTCATTGACCACCCCAGATTCCACCCCAAATTTCTTAACTATGATTGGTCCTTTGCCTTGCCAGAGGTGGGACCTAAGTTGAGATCCACCATTCAGGCTGTGTTGCAACAGGCATAGTTTTATTTTTTAAAGTAAAAAAATGTACTTTTTGTTTTTATTTTGGACGTAAATATTTGTTTTAGTCCTTAAAGAATTTAGCCTAAAAGATGAATATGTTGCCGTTATCTTGTGTTGTTTCAAAGTGGATGTGATTAGTGCAGACAGAAGGGGTAAATAAATGCTCTTTATGCATGTGGGTGCTCACAAAATTCAGGCTACCCCTGCACAAGTCTGTGCCCCCACAAAAGTCTGGACACACCCCTGCTGGCATAGAAGAGTATAAGTAATAATACCTCATTTGAGTTAAACTTAAAAAAAAAAAACATTACATTATTTTTCCAGATCAATAGAGCTCTCAGAGTACATTAAAGAATCTATACAAGGATGTGCTTTAATAAGAAACTTAGTTTGAACTTGTGTGTATTTTTTTCTTTAGGCATTATAATTGAAAACATGTTTTTTTTTCATCCTCTGCTTCTGCACTGTCACTGTGACAGCATGATTGATGCTGATGCATGATGATGAAATCTTCACACCATTTCTTTTCCTGGAAACAGTTAAGAAATTGCACAGAAGCTGGTTTCAAAACCTTCTTGCTAATTTATTTCTTGTTTTCTACAGAACTTTATTTCCTCTTCTTTAACAACCTGCAACAGTTATTATTAGTTTACAAAATCTCATTCTGTGCAATCATAAAAACAATGTAATCTAAAGTCCTTCCTTGTCTCTGTCTCTCTCTTTACAACACGTACTCAGACAAACAGTGTGTGTGATTGATGAAAATTCCTTTGCTCAAGAGGACATCTAACAGTGTGACCACCTGCTGGGGAGGCAGAGCGGGGGGGGGGGGGCAATCCCTGAGGGGACGGTCAGTCAGACACAGAGGAGTCATGGTTTGCTAATGTGTGTGCGTGTGAGTGAGTGAATGCCAGGCAGCATTTAAAAATCAAAATGGACTTACACTCTAATGTTCATAAAAGTTTCCCTTTCCTCCAGTGTGCTGGCTCTGATCCAGAGCGCTGATAAATCAAAGATCTGTTGTCACCCACCCAGCCATCTCACTGTCCATTACAGCAGCCAGATCCTCGGCTCACTTCCTATCACCATCCTATTGTTCCTGCACAGGAACCGCTCCATCACATTATAAGGATGTTAGGTAAGAGGAAAAAAATCTGACTTCCTGTTTGCCCAAGGCATACAGATCGGGTGTCAACCCCTCTGTCGTCCAAAAACCATCACACTGCTTTCCGTCCGTCATCCCCCTCTCTGAGCTCTCGGGGGGGAATGATCTTATAAATGTGTCTAAGTGACAGGTAACATCTGCTCAAATAAACAGGGAGAGTCTAGACATCTTGGAGATGTCCAAGGATTTAAGCAGACACATTAAATATTCTCAAAGATATTTTGGATGACTTTTTTTTTCATTTTGGTTGGGAACACTACAAGTTGCTGGAGATATTACTAGATCAATTTGTATGAAACATAAAGGAGTCACTCACTCATTTTTCTCCAGCTGTAGTGTGAGCTCGTGGCCCTCAGCTGTGATCTGAACCTGTGCCTCTGCAGGATGCTGGGGGGAAACAGCGAACACAGATTAACAAGCAGAAGATGAGCCATGTCAACAATTTAACACAATCAGTGATTTTATCTTTTAAAATAATCTTGAAAGTGAAATAGACAGAGACAGTCAGCCTCACCTCTTTGTTGGCAGACCTCCTGTGTCTGTGAGGATGCAGCCATGTGGCAGAAGTAATCTCATAACTCTGTACTTGTTCAAGGATGCTCCTTAGTGAAGCCTGCTTCTTTTCTCCTAAGATTAAACCGAAAAAAAAGAGGTGAAACTTCACAATTTATCTACAAATTAAAAGAAACAGGCTATTTCTGTGATTTCCATTTAAAACAATAACATTGCCATCATGCATGCTCAGTAACAATACATATTGAATTTGAACACCTAAAAATACATTCTAGTACAATGCGATATCGATCCACCTTTCCTAAGTCATGTAAAAACATATTCCAGTCCCCTGTCCATAAAAACACTCACCATTGTAAACAGCGCCTTCAGCAGCCTCCACACAGAGCAGGAGAACTAGCAGACAGAGAGAGGACTGCACAGCGTCGAGAGGAGGAGGACGCACTCCCGGACGCATTCTAACAACCAGCAGCTCCAAATCAATCCTTTAAAGTGAGACATGAAAAGGCAGTAAACCGGCCGGGCTGTTCCACACGAGGCGGACGTACAGGCTGCAGCCGGCGGGGTGACGTCGCGATGCGCTGCCGCTCCTCGTCTGAATGAGATGCTGTGCAGACCGCAGGGCGCACATCTCTCCGTTTCATTTCCAACCCCTCCCCTTCATCAGCTCACACACAGGCGCACGGAGACGAACAGTGATGTGAGGCAAGCCGAGCAAAGGATATGATGAAAAAGTGTACGGGAGAGAGAATCACGGTTACACAAGCCCAATGTTGAAAATGCAAAGATGTGATCTAGAGACTCATACTAAAACATGGAACTCATAGGATATTAGGCTACAGAGGGAAAACGCAAATAATATTTTTTTATATGAAGTTGATTTTTTAAATCTCCTTATCGCCATTTAACGAGGAATCACCTCCAGATTACCTAGTGTGATGTTTAAGGACTACATGTATATAATCAGTTCTTAAAGGGGCACTCCATCAATTCATTATCATACTTCTACAGAGAAGGTGGACTCACAAGTGATACATAAACTAATGGTTGTCTAAAATTAAATTACTTCAACCTGATTTATTAGACCTAAAGATCTTTCAGAGAATGTGCAGACATCAAACAACACTTCACACTTGGTATATGAATGGGGTTATTTACTTCTGATGGTCACTACACAGCAGTCTCTACCATCAGTGTGTGAATGTGTAGGTGTGACCTGCAGTGTAAAATAACTTTGAGTGGTCAGAATACTAGAAAATAAATATACAAGCTTATTTACCATTTTATAAAGCTGCAAATTAAACCAGCTTTGAAAATATCCTGCGTTGGTCCAAGATGGATATCCCAACATTTAAATCAAACTTAGCTGCTCATGCTCTGTTAAATGTCTGGTTTGTTATTCAGGGAGTGACAACAAATGAAAACTGTATATCTGCTTTAAATTCAGATAAATTCATTGGATTATGTTCATGGATTTTAAATGGTTGCGTCTGAAAATAACAGTGGTGTTGCTGCATTTCTGCTCCAGTTTCACAAACAGTAGCCCAATGGGCTTTAGTTGAATCCCTGCATGTAAACACATGCTGCCTTTAAATAACTGCACCACTCGCCCCAACACACTCAAAGTTTTTAATACTACAGGGCCACATGTCGAGTCACCGTATGTGTCCAGTCTGGCATGGGCCCAAGTAAGTCAATGTCAAAGAACTTCAACAACCAGGAGGGCTTGTTTTGTAATAAAGACGACTTCTTATAACAGGTAAAATCATTTGATCCCTAATGCAAACAGATGAGGTGAATCCTGGTTACATAAAGTACAGTACACAAGCAACAGGCTTCTAACAAAGTCACTAAACCAAAAATAAGGCTCTAATACCCGACAGTAACCGAGCCTACTACAGTAACTAAATACAGTAAGCTTCTGCCACTTGAATCCTCCAGCAGCCATTCATACTGAGCGGGTCATTTATAAGTGTGAGGATAAATATTCCACAGAGCACATGTCAGGAGGATAGAGTGTATGCAGGGTGTGTGAGGTATTCTTAGCACTGATGACAGTGCCGGCCACTGAATCCATTCACATCTCTAAATGGTTTACTGTCTGTAAGATAGGGTACTACTCGTCCTGCCAAGGTATTGGTTTCTGCTTTACTCTGCTTATTTTTACCTCAGAGTGACACACCCTTTTTACTACAAGTTTCAGAAAGGCATCCTGAATCTCTAAAAATCCAACATTTAGAAACTCAGCTCGTTTAAAGAAGAGTCACATAGATGTAAAAATACAAAAAAATGGAGCCAAAAATGATCAAGATCAACATGCTGACAGTTTAAAGGCTTGTAGTACTCTACGTGACTCAGGATTTTATATGAGGATATAGTTTTTGGAAAATTAACTGTAGGAGAGTTGTATGCACTAGCTGTGTGAGGAGTTTACAGACGTCTGAGTTTGACTTTGTTCAGTATAAAACTGCTGTGCATGTGCACAACATTCATTCCATAAAGATAATAAAAATCTTCATATCTGCTTCACTTTGAACATGACAGATGCCTTCACGCAATGTCAGCAGAAAAGCTTCTGCTTGAAGAGCGTGATGGGAGTTTAAACATGAAAGTCAGCATTTGTTCCAGCTGCAGGAGAGTTAAACCTCAAAGTCAGTCATCAAAGCTTAAAGGACTCCAACATTCATAGGCATGAAGTTTGACAGTCAGTGAATTTGTTCAATGTTCAGTATTTCCTCCCACAGTGCAGAAGTTGTTAGCAGTTGTCGGCCTCCAGGATGTCGCTGTGTTCCTCCCAGAACTGATCTCCGATGATATCAGTGTGGTAGGACTGAACCTTCCGCCTGCTGCGAGTCACAGGCACTTCCTTCTCCTCTTCATTTGGTAGCTTCAAGCGTTTGACGATAGTTTCATCTCGCTGGACACAAGAAACAAGAAACTCAATTATTCAAAGAAAGAGCACAAATTTAGAAAAATACCATATCTGTCATATTTGTTTATCTCAGCTGTATGGAAATGTGACTTTTTAATCTGACACCATCAACACAACAGGAAGTCACTGCACTCCACATTTAAAAATAAACATGATCAGTGCTGGTAACACATCTGTCATGAAGAAGAAATGTTTATGAATTCATTAAAAAAACAAAGTTCATTCTAATGGCGGTAACGTTTCATTATAACTTGTGTTTTTCTAAACATGGAGGGCAGCACTTCCTTCATTTCACAGTGGTATGAACATCGATCTACAGAGGACGAGGAAGATGCTGCTTAAAAAAATAAAAAAAAACTTTTTGTCTAGTTATATTATATGCTTTAGATTCAGGATGAAACCCTGACGTCACAGAGCCTGAGTGGCGGCCGCTCCAAATCTGTGGAGCAGTCTACTGGTTAACATCTCAACAGTAACCTCCATTCATAATCTTCACCTCCAATCATCCGTCATAATAATAATAATAATAATAATAACAATAACAATAACAACAACAACAACAATAATAATAATAATAATAATAATAATAATAATAATAATAATAAAAAAGAACAATAACAACAATAATAATAACAATAATGTGTGAAATCTGACCCCAGTGTTGTCAGCTTCCCCTAAGTTAAGCGCATAGTGATTGGATATTTACTAGCAGGAAGGAGTTTCCTTATCCCAGTTCATGGACTCTCAGGCACACACAAACAGAGAAGATGTTGTAGAAAGACGATGAATGGAAGCGTGTTGACCTAGAATACCTCCATTCACAAGCGTGCATTGAACCATGGACGCCGTACAGAATCGTTCAATATTAGATTGAGTATTGGTGCATCGGCAATGGCATGTACACTGCTTTCAAAATGCATTGTGGGATACTATGATACAACTTTGTAGGGTAAAATAAATCTCACTCATTCATTGGGACAGCGACCCCCCCCCCAGTGATGTCACTGTCACACCTGTCTGCAGCTCACCTTCTCCCAGATGAGCGTGGTGCCTTTCCTGTGCAGGGCAGCTTCTTTGTTGTAGTTAATGTCAAACTCAGTGAACAGGATCTCATTTTTGTCTGCAGCTAGTGTACCCTAGAGGGAGACAGAACACAGTTACACATAAGATGTAAATACAGAGATCAGTTCAAACAAGATGCCTCACTGGGTCACAGGACTCATCTTCCTCTAAGTCAGAACAAAACAATAATAGAACCTATCGGGGCTATTTGTCAAAGAAAACAAATTAAGATAAACTTAAAAACAAACCACATAAACTCAACAAACAGCCACTGATGCACCACTCTAGTTAGATCGATCGCAGGCAATATTTTAAACGTCCAGTCGGGACTCACTGTTTCTTCATTTCATTCAGATCATCACAAACAAACATTTCATTGACCTGCTAAAAAACCCGTGTCCATCAGGTGACACACCTGAGACCTTTAAAGGGTTCCTATCAACCCAAGGGCTTGGCAAGGTGAATTCCACTTGTGGCTCCTTTCCCACATGTCATTCCTGACTCTCTCTTTCCCTGATTTCACACTCTATCCACTGTCCTGTCTCTCCAGTAAAGGCACTAATTCAGTTGACGCTATACAAATAAAAAATTGATTGATTAAATGACAAAAAGCTCCAAAATAAATATTTTTTTTTAAAAAGGGTTCCTATCAACCCAAGTGCTTGGCAAGGTGTCCACTGCCCCCTGGTGTTTATCTCCGATAAAAATAAACTACTGTTTGTTTTTTCATTGTAAATGATTAAACTGTTGTCTTAGATATAGTTCTACCTTAACCCAGTTTACAGAGCTCATACATTCACTGTTAAGAAGTTCCTTAAAAGATAAATGATTGTTTAGATTATTATATTGCCCATAATATCAAAGAACAATTAGCCTCGATCACATAGCAGCATGTAGCAGCACCTAAATATTCAATCATGTCTTCAATCCTCCTTTGGAGAATTATTATTTTGATCAATCTGACCCAGCATAATTAATGTGAGGAGTTTTTATCTGTGTGTTAAACAGACTGAATTTGATGATGATGCATTTGACCTACAGAAGCAAACAGGACCATGAGGAATCACATTGATTATTTCTAGAGTTGTTTTGAATTCCTGTCTCTGCAGCCATGCAGGACACAAGTGAAACATCTTCATAGTAGATTTAAGTATAGTTCATTAATCTTAGTTAACCTAAGTTTTGCTCTCACCTTTAAGCGCTCTTCTGCCTGGACTGTGGTGAGTCCTCCCTTCTGGACTAACGTCCAAAACACTGTGTTGTACAAATTATTAACGTGACCTAAAAGACACAAAATGCACGCTTTCAGTCCGGCCTCCTTCACCCTGGTCAGTTCAAAAACACATTCTGCTCCTTTTAAAATGTTTGATCAAAGTATGCACTTACAATCTGCTTGCCTCCAGCTAAGGTAATCCCTGAGGTTGCGGTTGCTAGGATACAAGACCACACGTCCATCAAAGCCTGGAGGGTACAAGAGAGGCTGTTCCCCAAAATAGTCCTTCCAATAAAACACATAGGAGGAGGAGAACTGGGAGGCCACGTGGGTCATGAGCTTACTGCCAGATGAAATAGAGATCAGAGATCAGAAGACAGAATTCATTCAAAATCATGACATTCATGTTCTGTTGTCAAACTCAAAATACCTGGCTCTCCTCTTAAACCATGTGGAGGTCCTCTTGAAGACAAAGCTGAACTCGTCACTCTGACCATAAGCGATGACGATATCCTCGAGTTCCTCCATGACAGAGTGTGCACTCCTGTCATCAGACCCAGGGCTCTGTTGTCATTGGGCTTTGTAAACGTGTGCTGCTCTGCAAACCTGAAAGAAAAACAGACAAAGGAGTGAAGAAAGGCAGCAGGGTTTCACACCACATGTTTCTTTACAGAGATCACAAATGCTTTGGAATAAAAATAAAATACAAATAGACTCACTTGTGGAAATTGCGCCCATCGAGTCTCACAACAATGTAGCAGTTTCTCAGACAGGTGTCATCTGTTTCAAAGTTGCGGACATACTCAAACTTGCTCTTGGCCATGTTTCTGGACTTTGTATGAAGACAGGCAAAGGATCCAACAACACCCACAGAGCTGATACATTCAACAAATCTGCAGGCCTTTCCAATCAGCATTAGTTCCTAAAAAGAAACATCAAGAACAACACAAATATTTTAACATTCACACGGCTGAAATGTTTCACATAAAACAATTTAACTACTTTATTAGTGTTTTATTAGAATCAAACTACAATTCATGTCTGATCTCATTAAAGAATAATAAGTTTCCATGTTCAATCGATCTCATCATCACATGGTGTTAGTGTTTCTCCTCTGTATGCATCGTGATGTTCAATCCAAACACTAATATCTTCATATTTTGTTTGTCAAACAAACAATATTATGATAAGAAGAGATGATTAAGCAAAAATAGATCTTAACAATTGCTATCTACTGTTATTCAAAGACACGTCGCGTCACCTCACTCACGTTGTGTACAGTCCGTCAGCGAAATCTGTCGTAGTGATACTAAAGTTAACATGGACGAGGTTCCGCAGCACATGCAAAACAAAAAGTGATGTTCAATCCAAACACTAATATCTTCATATTTTGTTTGTCAAACAAACAATATTATGATAAGAAGAGATGATTAAGCAAAAATAGATCTTAACAATTGCTATCTACTGTTATTCAAAGACAGGCGTCACCTCACTCACGTTGGTTTGTGTACAGTCCGTCAGCGAAATCTGTCGTAGTGATACTAAAGTTAACATGGACGGAGGTTCCGCAGCACATGCAAAACAAAAAGCTTACTGTTTTAAGTTGATAGTTCACCTTCTCTTAAAACGCACTATCATAAATAAAAAATCTCATGTTGCTGTAATAGATCATCAATTCTTAAAAAAACAAACGGATTTACATTGAAGCTAGCAAACATCGTCTGTGTTTTAGCACCATCTAGCGGCAGACGGATGGACACTGCAACCATAGCAACCATAGATCGTCTATTAGTAAGAGGCGACGTAAATATGTTCTCTAAACGTGGAGTGCATATGTATGCTATGTCCTCTCTTTGGGGGGTTCTGTGGGTTTTAAAGAAAGCATTCACATTCAAGTGACAAACTGAGACGAAGTTTCACTTGGAGAATAGGAAAACAACACTTATTTAAAGCTTTGGGGATTAAAGTCATTCACTTCACGTATCTGCTCTGTAAAAAGTCCCTTGAAATGGGTCCAGAGTGACTGCTCAACCTTAACCGACGAGTACCACTTTCCTAGTGTTTCCTGCTTCACCGTGTGCTCATCTGCGGCTTTTTCAAACATGGAGGAGGGGGAAAGAAGAAGTGCACCTACAGGCAGAAAAGAAACAACAACTGCAACCTGCCGGAGCACACCGTCAGTATCAGAGAGTCAACCGGAGACAAGCAGCACAGCTCATGACGCAGATAAAATAGATGTCTGCTCTGACAAGTTTGACCCACTGCTGGCCTTGTACTCGCCCACCGTGCCGCTTCCTTTTCCTAATGTCAAATGTTTTAACAACGTGTCAGCGTACGAGAGCTTTCTGAGGGGCGGCCGGGGAAGAGCCAAGCCGGAGAATGTGGAGAAAAAGCGGCAGAAGGCGATGAGAGGGGTGGCGGACCCGGAGCGTATCGCCAGACTGAAGAAGCTGATGGTGAAGAACCCGGTGAAAGATCCAGAGGAGGGAGAGGAGAGCACACCGAGGAGGAGGAGGCAGAAGACCCAGAAGAATGTCCTGACGAGGATGCCCTGTAGGTTCAACTACAGCAACACGTTGTTGTTGTTGTTGTTGTTGTTGTTGTTGTTGATAGTCTTGATCTTTTTTTTCTTCTGCTTCTACCAGAACATGGAATTTGTCTTGTTGGGAATTATTAGATGTACATTTCCATATTATTAAGCTCTGCACATTGCAATAGTTGCAAAAATAGTGTCCCATTTCTTGACCCCAGTCATCCCACAATCTATCACTTCTTTTAGAAATATAAGTGACTAGAACAGGGAAGGGCCACATTCATGTAATTCTCACTGCCAGAGGGCCAAATTGTAGGATACAAAAAAGATTACAGTCAATTATGTCTCCAATTTAACTCAACATATATCAGTGATTAAATATTATTATGGACATTTATCGGGTTTTCATGATTTCATGGCAGATTTAGTCATGTTTTTCTTCATGTTTCCAATGAATTGATATGTAAAAATTGACCTGAGGGCCATGTTGAGGGTTGATGGGGGCCGCCAGTTGCCCACCCCTGAACTAGAAGAACAGCTTCAGTTATCTTGTAGAATGAACACTGTCCTTTTAAAAGATATTCTTCATTTGGTGTTTGATTATAGTTGAAAACATTGTAGTGAATGTGGTGACTGAGGGACATGTAGTCAGTAATCCACATCATTTTCATAATCATGCACTTTATATTTAGTACCCCTCCCCCTGTATGGATACATGCGTGTTCTTTATGTTTTGGCTAATGATGCATTTTGTCACCTGTTTCTACACCCCACCTTAAAGCACTTAATAACCCTTTTTATGGCTGACATCTTTTTGCGACTCAGAGTAATATACTTGTCTATTTTGTTGGTGTGTGAGTGAGGTGATCAGTGTGTTTGTCATGTGTCTTCAGTGTGTAAAGGCAGTCCTTTGGGGGAGCTGTACAGATGTGTCCAGGAGAGGATAAGAGTCCGGGTCCACATCAGGACCTTCAAGGGGCTGAGGGGAGTCTGCTCCGGCTTTGTCGTAGCCTTCGACAAATTCTGGAACATGGTCAGCTCTCCCATTGTCAATCTTTCCATTTGCTGTTTTTTTTAACTTTTTTTAAACTTTAAACCAAGGTACATTATCTTTTGTCTCTTTATATCGACCTTTTACCATATATTTAATATTTCTCTTTGTCAGGCAATGGTGGATGTGGATGAGACGTACAGAGAGCCTTTGCTTGGAGAAGCTCTGTACCATGAGAAAGCCCTCACCTTTACTCGGGTAAACATCAGTTTTTATTGTAATTCTGACTGAAAATATTTCTCTTCCTTGGTAAAACACTGCTCAAAATCAAAGGAACACAAAAAAAACCCATCAGATCTTGATGAATGAAATATTGAGGTTGAAAAATGTCTCCTGATGAACATTGTAGAAGTTGTTGAGAACAAATGGAAACCAAAATCCTCAACTCATTGAGGGAAAAAAATAAAATCACTGCGACATGTGTGAATTTGTGTGTGTGTGTAACGTCCGTGCATGCTCCTGATAAGTTGGTGTCATGGGGGATCTTCCCCAAGACTTAAATCAGAGCATCGGGGAGATGCAGGATCTGTTGTGGTACTAGTCGAATGCACCGATACATAAAGTCCCTCAGTTGCTCAACTAAGGTCAGGGAAACCAGAGGGCCAGTCAATGACATCACTGCCTTCAGCGTCCAATCAGGGTTCTGTTGGCTTTGACATGGAGGTCTGTGCGACCCTCCAAGGATATGCCTCCGCAGACCATCACCCTCATGTTGTGTGATGTCACAGGCAGCATAACATTCATCATGGTATCCACAGACTCGTTCATGCCTGTCACATGTGCTCAGTGTGAACCTGCTCTCATCTGGTGAATAACCAGTCATGCTGCAGGGTGCCGGGCTGTGAGGTCCCACTGGAGGAGGGGGGGTGCCCATGCTATCCACATGGAGTCATTCTGACTGGTCAGAAACATGCTCACCAGTATCCTGCTGAAGAACAGTAGGGCTTTTTTCGGCAGTGCTCCTCCTGTTCCTCCTCGCACACAGGAGCAGATAGCGGTCCTGCTGCAGTGTTGATGCCCTGTCTAGCCGGTCTCCTGGAATCTCCTCCAGGCTCCTGAGAATGTTCTGGCAGACACAAGACGGGCTCAGTTGGTAGAGTCGTCTCTCAACCGGAGGGTCCGATCACCAGCTGCTGATGTGTCCTTGGCAAGACACTTACTCCTCAATCACTTCCTGATGCTTTGTCGGCGACGTATGAATGGGATTATTTACCTCTGATGGTCTCACTACATGGACACCTCTACCATCAGTGTGTGAATGTGTAGGTGTGAGCTGCAGTGTAAAAGAGCTTTGAGTAGTCAGAAGACTAGAAAAGTGCTACACAAGCTCAAGTCCATTTACCATTTACAACAAACCTTCATACGACCGCAGTTTGGGATGATTCATCCTGGAGGAGCTGGGGAGGTGGTAGGTACCGCCTCATGCTACCAGTAGTGATAAGGAAACTATCAGAACACAAAACTAGAGAATAATTAGTCCTCAAGGATGAGGAGACAGACAATGTCTGTGACCACCACATGCAAAACCGTCTTGCTTTTAGCTTCATTGTAACTTTTGTCACTTTTATTTGCACCAGAACAGGTGACATTGATTCACTTGTGCTCCCTGAATGGACAGATTGATGTCCCTTATGTTTTTTTGGACTGAGGTGCCTTTAGTACACAAACAAACTGTGTTTCACTGAAAACGCACCTTTTGGGTAAAGTCCTTACAGGTGAAGATTTTCAGAAACAAATTGAATGAACTGTTCATTACAGAGGAATGGAGAGAAAATATTTGAATGTCAAGGACATAGCTGTTGACTTGGCATCCTCATGACAGCCGTAACAGTGTGTTTTTGCATTTTCACGATCATGTGGATGAAGATGTTTTTGAGAACTGAGTGTGTGGAAGTGATTATTTTTTTAAACGTAAGAGGAAAACCTGTTTAAATAAATACTGAAATAATAGGCCTTGGTGTTCTACCATGACGATAAAGTGTTCCTTTCATTTATTGAGCAGTGTTGTTAAAGTTATGATCTGATTGGGGCACTGGTGGCGCAGTGGTTAGTGCGCGCGTCCCATGTATGGAGGCTGTAGTCCTCAAAGCGGGCGGCCCGGGTTCAAATCCAGCCTGTGGCTCCTTTCCCACATGTCAATCCCCACTCTCTGTCTCTCTGATTTCTGACTCTATCCACTGTCCTATCTCTACATTAAAGGCACAAAAAGCCCCCCCCCCCAAAAAAAAAAGGTTCTGATCTGAATCCTGCAGAGTTAAATAAATCCACATTGTTCAAATAAACTACCAAAACTGCAGCTCATCTGGCTTGTTTAGCAGTCACATAATAGTTAAATCACCCCATAAAATATATCAAATGTATTCCCCTCCAGCAGACCTCACCGGTGACATCGGGGACTATATAGAGAGACATACTGTTATGTCTTAAATGTGTGTTGGTGGAGATACTGACCTCAAAGGAGGTTTAATTTTGAAATCCAAGCTCCATGTTTAAACCACAAACACTAATGTGCCTGAACTCTTTGTCCAGCTCTTTGAGAAGCTGAAGCTCCAGGAGAGCTCAGCAGCTGAAGACGTAGCAAAGAAGCGCAGCGCCCGAGAGTCCTCCAGCCTGCAGCAGCCTCCACACCTAACACACCTGTCTGCTCAACCTGCTGACAAGAGCGGGGACAGCAGGCCCCAGTCCAAGCCTTCAGGCAGCGATACATCCACACAAGAGAAACGCAAAGTGTCGCTGAAGACCCCGGGTCCAGAAGTGTGTAAGAAGAAAGAGTCCCAGAAGTACGGGAAGGTCCACACTCGACATGTCAACCAGCTGTTTATCCGAGGGGAGAGCGTCATCCTGGTTAACCCACAGCCTCTCTGATCTCTGTTTGTTATTTACCCTGAAGATCGCTGCAACCTTACTCAATGAAATTTAAATATCATTTTACTCCAGACATCTGTAACAGAAGGTGTTAAATACCATCACTGAACTGACAGAGATATGATTTAATTAGATTCAAAAGAATCAAACGAGGGCTGTTGTATCATATTGATATGGATCTTGTTTTTGAAGAATAAAAGCTCCTCAGTTCTAATTATAAAAGTCACTAGTCTTTTTTTTTTTTGTCTTTTCTTTATTGTGACATGTTTTTAACAGCTGTGTTTGTATTACGCTTTTCACCCAGAAGGTGGCAGCATAAACACACGAGTGTCATCTTATAGGGTCCGTTGTCATCTCAAAGAGCTTGTCCCTTTATGTTGCTTTTCCCGTTAGTTTGAACAGGAATGACAGCGCAGTCTCAGCGGACTTCATAAATGCATTATGAATAATTGAGTTTGTGAAGCTGGAGATTGCAGATGGCACTCAAAAGCTGTCATTTGTCTTGACGTCTCAGATTGCTTTTACTCTTTAATGGGCACATTACCCATAAAAGCACAATTTACTGCATCTCATGGAAGTTGTAAAGATGTTGCTTTTTTTTTTTTTTTTTTTTAATGGTGGAGGTTACTTTTGGATGATGAGTGAAACACAGTGATTGTATGTTGCTAAAATGTTTCTCAGTCTGTCTCATTTGAGTTTCTTTACTTGACTGCAAGGTTTAAGTGACCCTCTTTCTATATATTGTGCATAAATAGGACACATTGTAGCTTTAACTATATAACATTACACATAATGTATCACAATATTAGTAATATAGCCCATTAAACAGCCTTCCTCTCCAGAGAGCTAAAACAGGGTCAAACGTGTGAAGCAAGCTGTGTTTGAGTTGTTTGTCACACCAATGTGTTCCAACTAAATACAATAAGGGAAGGTCAAAGCATTAATGTTGGGAAGAAAGAACACAATCATACAACCCTTCAGTAATCCGGCCATCCAGGAAACTCACCGAGGATTTGGAGGAGTATTGAAACAGTAAAGACTCAGAATGGTTATTTTAATACTTAATGAAATAGTAGGGATCAGCTGTTTTCTGTAATTAACTCTCTACACACGTTATGGTCAAGGTGTTTCATCACAAAGATTTAAGTGTTCATACTCCTATCAGTTTTTTTTTTCTTACATAAGTGTAAATATTAAACTTCCCTACATCTGCTCCCTTTAGCTCTTCACATGTGCGTTTTTATCCTCTCAAATAATGAAGTTAACAAACTCGCATCAACTAAATGTAATTTGAAAGTCGAGCGCGGTGGCTTCCCTTTTTGCTGCTTGAAGCTCTTTTGAACGAGGCTAATGACACATCACACCAAATAACACACACCATTAACACATTTCAATCAACTGTTTAATGTTGTAGATAAAGAATCTTGATGTGTAAATCAAATAAAAATGGGAAAAAAATGCAAAAATTAAGTTTTCTCAAAAGATTTTTTTTTTTTTTTTTTTTTTTACATTTGCATATGCTAGTGTTTCAGTAACAATCCCATTTCAGAGAAAATCAAAACAATTTGAAGTAGAAAAAAAATGCATTAAACAACCTCTACTGATATATTTTAGAAAAAACAGCAAACAGATTTTGGTCATTTTAATTCTTCAAGACTCGTACAAAGCTACTATGTGTTAGTGTGCTCAGCCTCTTGAGCCCTTGGGAGAGCCGGAGAGAGCACAACTTTGAATCCTCCTGGCGCTGCACTATCCACTGCCCTCTGCTCTGGTCAGTGAATTATTTATCTGATCGTTGACAAACTCAAAATGTCAGGCAGCCAAGAGTCACTTATCAATCACTTATTATCAGGGTCAGGAGAGAACCATCGACAGGCACTTGAACCACTGAAGAGCAATGCTTTGTACGTCTGACAGGTCAGGTGCACGCTGTACAGCTGAATTGTTTATGCGCTGTCCCACAACACATCCTCATCCAACCATTATTACATACTGGGTGTGTACAGACTGCTTCCTCTCACACCATCATTATGATGATCTAAAGAGCCTGCAGACTGGTGAGGACGGTTATGACAGCAACACTGTTTTTTTTTTTAAATGCGTATCAATAGTGAAGATGGAAGGTAAGAAGGCAGCGTTTACCCGGACACACAGGTGAACATTGAACAAACAACAGATCGATGCATGATCGTAATAACAGTCGGCATCAACACTTGAGGTGTTGAGTTAAGTTAGATTCTTCTCTTTGAATTGAGTGGAAACTAGAACGATGTGTGTGGGACAAACAAAACAGATTGAGTTAAATTATTATACAATTGCATTTGATATCTGAGCAGACAAGTTCACAGACATCTTTTGTACATCATACAGAAGCTCCATCCTCAACACTGCACAGTCACAATGTGTCCTTCAAAGAGGATAACTGAAGAGGAAAAACAAGGTCTTTCAGGCACTATTATGAAGAACCCACAACCCCCCTGTATGAGGCTCCTTCGACCCACTGATTATCTCATTTGGATGCAAACTGATTATAATCTTCATAAGTAAAATAGATAATTTATTTAGCAATAAGAAAGGCCACAAAATGATGGTCGATTAAAGGAGACACTCCTTCTATGAATCAACCACCTTCACTCCACTCATTCATGAACTGCAGCACTGATGGGCCACGTTTGGAGTGTGTGGACAGGTATGTACAAAGAGAAGGTGTCAATGTGCTCCGTCATCGGTCTCAATTCATCTCAGATTTGGTCTGTATGATTCAACACCGTCACTACCTCTCATATCAGAACTTCATAACTTATCTTTAAGGGCTGCAGATTTCTATTTACACTTTAAAGGAAGAGCAAGGACAAAAAAAAAGAAGAGGTAACTTGACATTCATTCTTAAATGTACATTAGAAAGTTAAAATGGCTGATCATGTAAAGTTACTGAGAATATATCTTACAAGAATTATGCAGCTACTGATAGATTTTTTTTTTTGCTATTCTGGTGATTTGACTTGATTGAAGTTATAAAGCAAATCCCCGACATTCACTCTTCCCTCTTCTCCCTGACTGGAGAGTAACGGACGAGGCACACAGTCATCAGTGTGCGTCTGACCAGAACCCCAGAGTAGACAGATCATTGGTTCAAACACAACCCACACACACATTCATTTAGATCCATATCACTACACAGCATTACTTAAAAAAAGATTAAGGAGATTGCAGGGTGTTGGTATGTGATAGTTAATATATTCAAGTACTCTTTGTTTGCAGCTCTTAACAATCCTTTACCAATGGACGGAAAGACAGAGAGAGAGAGAGAGAGAGAGAGACAGAGAGAGAGGCTGATACTGCTCCACTATCTTCGCTCTCCAGATCCATCACTTTCCAAAATTGCCGAAATCAGCAAAGGCATCGTGTTTGGGCTGTTGGACCATTGTAGCGTTCATCCCCATCCCCATCCCCATCCCCATGGAAGCGGGCATCCCCATGGTCATACCTGCCTGTGGCATCCCCATGTTCATGCCCATCCCCATCATGCCCTGGTTGGGGGCCATAGCCATGCCCATTCCCAAACCAGCATTAGGATGCATCATAGGATTTGCAGACGGTCTGACTGTTGTAGGTCCAAGGCTCATACTGGAAAATCCCTGGGAGAGCATGTTGGCAGGTGCCTGGTTGCCTGGACATGACAGAACAAACTCAATTAATAAAAATGCCAAATTTTAAATCCCATTTGATGCAGAGTGCTTTGAAGGAGAGCCTCGCTGCAGTGTTCCCCCCACTCATACCAGACCTCACATTCCTCTCACCTTGTTGGAGGGTGTTGAGTGTAGGCTGGCTCTGCTTGGGTTGCTGCATGCCTGGACCCAGGAAGTCCAGACTGATGTTAACTGAGGGGTCCGACCAGGTTGGGGGGAGGGACACTTTGGCTCCAGCACCTTGAGAGGCCATTCCAGGCTGCAGAGGCTGGAGGGGCATGAGAGAAGCCCCCATGTTTTGTAGAGGCTAGAGACAAAAACAATGTTTGAAAAAGAGCTCATCAATGATTTAAGTAACACAATTATACAGTGGAAAGATACATATAAGCTCCAATTCACTAATACATGATGAAAAGCTACACTTCCTGCTTATTACTCGAGTGCTTAAACCTTGAGCCTGACCCACTTAACCTGGATAGTGTCAGAGGAGTCTGCTACAGTCTCCCTCTGAACTCAAACATATCATGTAAAGTAAAGTAGAAAAAGGAAGTGCTGGGTGTCTTCCCACTGAAACAAAGACTGCACTTTTTTTTTTAAGTAGGTCAACAACCTTTTAACATAGAAATACAGTCGACATCCATCGGCTTTTGTGTGCTTTTTAATTTTTTGTAACTCAGAACTGATTCTTCTCATTCTGTGTCAGTAACAGCAGGAGCGGGTGGTTAGGGGGCGGTCTCTGGGGGGAGACGAGCATCTGTTGAGGCTGAATGTTAACCCTCCACCATTGTGCAGTCACACAGGGTATGTCTTTATCATAAAGGCAGAACGACTGATGTGTTCAATAAGCAGCGTAAACCTGCAGTAAATGTGAGAACTTGTTTTTCATATTGGATTACAACTTTAAGTTTCTTTCATTGTTTGACTTTGACTTATCTCTCTTTTAATAAGTTGTTAAAAGGTTCTTTGTGCTTAAATGTGCACGCCAGAAACTGTATCATAACACTTATGTATGTTCACAAAATTAAAGAGGTTGATGTCTGACACCATTTCTAGAACAAACAGCACCTAACAACTGGCCTAACGTTAAACTGTGCTCGTTGATTATATAATGTGTATTTCAAACCTCAGTCTTTGTTCTAGCCAAAACAGTAAAAATACTCAGATCAAGATACAGTTTAAACAGGGCTGAAATATAGTGTAGTCTTAGCAATATTTTTGCTAAGTATTGATACTGATTGACTTCTAGTGGCTCTCTGATTCATTGTTTTCATAGTTGAAATTGGAAAAAAAAGAAGCCAATTTCAAAGTTAAGGACCTTGGGGAGCATTCACAAAATACCTTGAAAGCATGTACAGTAGTTCCTCTGCTGATATTAAGCATTAGCCTAGAAGCTTATCATTTTTTAAATTTGTAGGATTTGCCTTGAGTCTATTGCAGGCTACAAAACATGAACATCTTTGCTTTGCTCTTATAACCTTGTGTGACTTCAATATCTATTTATCTAAATGCAGTTTATTGGCAGCTACTAAAGTATCTG